AGAGAGAGAGAGAGAGAGAGAGAGAGAGAGAGAGAGAGAGAGAGAGAATTTCCTAAAGTCCATCTAAATTTTATAGTTGGGCATCTAAAATATTTATTAAGTGAGCCCATGTTGGAAATAACACTGCTTTCTATTATCAGACTTGATGTGTAACATGACAGCACTATGACAGATGGGGAAAAGAAGGCATTCAAATGCCTATACATTTAAATACATTAGACAGTTCTTTAAAAGAATGGCTAGACTCATTCGTTATATTGGGTACATCTTAGATATTCCATAAATAGAAGGAACTCTATTGGTAACACTGGGTTAAGCAACAAAAGAAAGTACAGTTGTGAATTCAAAATTCCATTCCTATGTCATGAGCCAGAACAGAGACATGTAGAATTGAAAAAGAAAATTATACAAATACCAGGGAGTACTACTAGTTTGGCACTGAGATTAATAACAGAGCCATTAATGAAAAAACGGAGAGGGATAGGAACAGAATCAGAAGGATAATTAAGAAGGAGCTCAGTAGTTAAAATTGGGAGCGGTGGCAGATGCCTTTAACCCCAGGAGACAGAGGCAAGAAGATACCTGTGAGTTTGATGCAAGCCTGGTCTACAGAGAGTTCAAGGCCAGCCAGGACTACATAGTGAAACCCTGTATTAAACAAATGCTAAAATTAAAGACATCCATATTTAGCAAATAACCTTCCTGTATCCCTTACCATCTTCCTTGATACTTAAAACCAAACCTTTTCTCTGTCCTGTGGCTTCTGACTCAATGGTATACATTTCTGGAGGTGTGTTGTCATTGACAATACTGAGAGTTGAAACAGCATTCACTTGTACATTCTTAAAATTAATAGACACCAGTTTTCTTTAAACAAGATGACCTTGCTTAGAAAAAAACACATTGTGGCTATTTTTTAATTGTTACTATTATTTGTGTAAGAGTGCACACACACACACACACACACACACACACACACACCATGATATGTATGTGGCGATCGGCAGCAGACTTGGAGGAGTCGGCTCTCTCTTTCCATCTTTTCATGGGTTCTGGGGATCAAATTCAGATTGCCAGGCTTGTGTGGTAAGTGCTTTTATACACAGAGCCAGCTGTCAGTCCAATACAGCTGCTTTGCTTACGTATCAAATTACTGGTATCACAGTAACCACTCACTTACCTGGTCTAGGTCTACAGAACCAGGTTGCAAGGGAGCTAGCTGATGTAGTGTGAAAGAAAGAATTTAATGGAAGAGTATGTAGGAACTATGCAGACAGAGGGAGAAAGCATTAAACCAAGGAAGAATTTCAAAGGAAGTGATATAAGACGGTTATAGAGAAACCAAGAGTCATGTTTTGCAAGAGCCGCACAGAGTGGAATAAAAGATGAATTTTAGAAAGCAGGAGGGTGTCAGGGAGTGGCAGCCAGCAGGCAGGTCAGGCATTTAGGTGGTGCCCTGTGAGCACTTGCAGAGCAGTTGCAGGGCTGATCAGAGATGAACACTGATGCTTAAGAAGGCATGGCCAAGGAAGAGAGCACAGAGGAAAGCAACAGGCAGCTGGGGACGCAAAGCTCCGCTCACGGATGCAAGGGAAGTCCCAGGTTAGTCTGGGAGAAGACAGTGCAAAGGAAAGGCACAAACAGAGGGCAGTGTGAAAGGCACTCAGTGCTAGAGTTGTCCTCAGTTAAAAAACTACAAAATGGTCGCCTGCAGCCACGTCAAAGAACTGCTTTCATTGACAGGTAAGTAAACGGCCGTTATTATAATGAAATCCACATAAGGGCGTTGTTTAATGGCTGATAAAGCCATTTTTAAAGACAGCTTTTATTAAGCTAAACGGAGACTTGGAGAAATAGTTTTGATAGAAGTAAAAATTATTTATGTTCATGATGCTTGCAAAGTGACAAGTATTTTTAAATTTCTAAGATAATTAACTACCATTTTAGTAAAGCAGTAATAATGGCATGATTGACAGGCCTGTTTTCTATTCTTCTGCAAATTTGCTTCTTTTATGTCTCATTTTGTAGATCTATTTTGATCTTTTGCATATTGCAAACCTACTACTAATCAGGAGTTCACATTTTCTTTTGCAAATGCACCTACAAGTAAAACTGTGAAGTAATTATAGACAACAGGACTGGAAGTGCCTACTTCCCTAGGACAGCCAGCCAGGCTACACAGCGAAACCTTGTATCAAGAAGGACGTGAAAATTAAAGCCATACAGTTTGCATAGGATCTTTCTACACCCGTTATCATTTTCCTTGACACTTAAAAGTACACATTTTCTCTATCAAAGGTATATATACTTCTGAGCATTCTGTCTCTGTGTGCACACTGTGTGCACGTGAGTTTGCTGATTCAGAGCTCTACTGAAACACTGCAGTACAGAACTCTGGGGCCAACGGCAAGTGTTCGTGCTTGCACGGGATGTTCTTCACAAACAGAGCCACCCTTCAGCTCACTTGATTGTAAGCTAAATTGCTTTCATTCTCTCTCTCTCTCTCTCTCTCTCTCTCTCTCTCTCTCTCTCTCTCTCTCTCTCTCTCTCTCCTTCCCTCTCTCCCTCCCTCCCTCCCTCCCTTTTCTCTTTTTGTTTTGAGAGTGGATCTCACTATGTAGTAGTCCTAGCTACAAACTTACTGAGATCCTTTTGCCTTTCCAGGTGCTGGAAGCTCCTATTTCTTAATGTATGTGCCACCTTAGATTCTGTTTCTGCATATAAAGCAAACTTCTTTTTGGCCCCTAGTATACCCTAAGCACTATGCAGATCCTGGGCATACAAAGGAAGAGGAAAGGGGAAAACCAGACAGGGTCTACCCACAAGGGAGTTCACAATTTTTTTTTTTTTTGGGAAAAAGAGATCATTAAAATATATAATTCAAAATTATAATAAGCCCTGTGAAGAAAATAATCGAGTGTTATGTAAGCTTATAATATGGAGAGTAAACCACGATGTTTTACAAGACATTGTCATTGAATTGATGTCTCTAAGGATGTTCAGGCTTGAAACAGGGAAAGAAGTGGGTGAGAGAACTAGATCACAGAGTGTGCAGAGGTAAGGTGCTGAGTCCATAAGAGGGAAAGACTCTGACCTGTTGGGTGATGGTGTCCCACGGTCCCTGGAGCAGCCGTGGCTTATAGCATTCATGGACGCCTTCCCATATATCCTCCAGAGCTAAAGGTCTCCCATCTGTGAAAGTACAAGCAAATCTGTGTTAGTGATCCATGCGACACGATGGTGCTTGTGGATGCTCTAAAGCACTGAGTGTCTGACTTCCGGGAAAATCTCAATGGGTGTACGCACCTGATGTACACACTTATGTATCAGACTTCTGTATAAATTACTATTTTCTACCTGAGGGAAGATTAAACATTTAAAATTTTCTCCTTTGTGTTCACACAGTAATTGACATTTTTATTCATTACCTTTAGGAATTTTACAAACTAAACAAAAGGTAAACATGTTTCAGAGAGAAACAACAGACACAAACCTAAGGGCAAGTCCAGGAACCAGACTCTGATTCCCAGAGGTCTGCTGTGGATACTGCTGGAGTCATCCTGATTCCTCTGTCTTTGAAGCAGAGGCCACACCCAGACATTTTCTCTCTCCTGCTGAACAATAATGTTTACATCATTCTACTGGGCCTCAAGGAGATGAGAAGGAAGGAGAACGTAATTTCTTGCAGTAAGTAACTTACTTGGAGAAACTACGACAAGTATTTGAGTATCTTAAACTACGCAATAGAAAGCAGCGGGTGCCAGAGAAAGCTAGTGTGGGAGAGTGCAGAGGACGGGGACCTAGCACATAGTGTGGGGAATAAGTGGGGGATGGAATGCATGCTGTGGAGAACCTGGGCCACTCGCATGACACATGACGGGAATAGCAGGAAACTGTAGTGAGCAGTCCTCCCCTTTGTGTCACGTCTCTCTCTACATTTGGTGCCACTCAAAGTGTTTTATGAAGACCACCATGGTACTTTAAATGTACACAGATAAGAGGAAATATAGGTGGATGGGTTCAAATACAAAAGAAGAAAGAGAGATAGTTACAAAGGCTTTCTAAATGCACTGCTGGAAGGGCATCAAAACACAAGAATCCACTGTTACTCTGTCCACTCACAGCAGTAAGTTCTGAAGACAACACAGGCCTTTCCCTTGGACAAACGTCCAGTGTTGTCTCAAGAGAATACAACATATATCGAATTACTAGGTTCAAAGAAATGCAGTATAGTCCAGGGAAATACTCGTCTCCAAACAGTAAACATCGCTGAGGTTTACAGACTGGAGAGTACAAGAAGAAATTCAGCATGAGGGACGCAGGAGGCTTAGAGTTTAACTGGTGTTTAAACACAGGGCGGGCAGGTGCTCTCTGTGTGCATCTCAGGTACTTTCCTGTATAAATCTTTGCTTTTTGAATTACTTTTCCTATACAAGCAGTAAGATAATCCTTTGGGGATTTTCTTCCCATGAGGCTTACATGAGTGAGCCTTCTCAGGACTGTGTCAGGAGCACAGAAAATGCTCAGTAACTACTCAGCAGCTGCCAGCCTCTACTCCGTACTTAGCCCTTCTCAAAGCTAACAGATCCACGTTGTACTCAGCCCTTCTCAAGGCTAATGGATCCTTGTCTGCACTGCTGTTTCTCAGACTCAGTCCCCAGGCTCCTGCGCCACACACAGTGCCTTTGATGCAGTAACATGCTAATGGCATAAGCAGGGCATTTCTCATGTCTGACCCAAAAAGTTGAACTTTCCCTCAACCTTTATTTTCAATAAATAGCACTGAAATATTTTGATACATTTTCAATAACTATCTTCATCTTGGCATTTATCTGGCAGCAGGAGACCATTATCTTTTGATAAATAGTTTTATTCCACTGACATTTCCATGTCTGTAAAATGAACAAGATTTATTCATCCAATTAACATTTGAATGTCATGTTTAGCTACAAGTTGAAAACAAGCTGACTTCAATATCTGTGTTATATTGTTTTCTGAACACATTTACAGAGTAGGCCAAACTCTGCTCTGAAGATAAGCACTATACATCTTCAAAACAGGAGTGTGTTGATTCTGAAGAGGTAAATAAGATCCGAAGTCCTGTGGCATCACAGAGAAAGCTCACTAATGAAATTACAAAGGACAATGTGCTTTCAAATAATGTTTACATATGAAAATGGGAGGGACTTAGATGGATAGTAAGATGGGCACAGTAGGGCAACTAATGTTAGAGATAAGGCCACTAACACCTTGGTGTTAACTCTCTAAGATAATGCTGTCAGCTCACCCCTGTGAAGGATCAGAAGCTGGCTTCAGGACACACAATCCAGTGCTGTTCTTAAGCCATGCTTCCTCTGAGGACAGAGACATTGTGAATGTTTTTTATATGTACTAAAATATATACACATATTAAAATGCATATACATAGATGTATATAAAAAATGATACATAAATAATGTATTCCTTATCACAAAATTTTCAGACACAAGAGAAGCTGAGTTTTAATATATGCTAATGAATAATAATTTTAATCTTATTCCTTAAAATAATCAATAACCTAAGCATAATTTGCTTATTGCCACCGTTAAAAGCCTGCCTACTCTGCTGGAAGTGTTTATACAAAAATCGTAATGAGCAGCCTAGCAACAATATCAGGAATGTTACAGGATTTCCATCAAACGTGATACTAGAATTGAGGGCTAGTGCTTTTTCAGACCACATTATCTGGAGAATAAAAATGAGAACTCTTTAGAATACAGGGTTTAAATGGCTATGGTCACCTTAAAAAAGCAATCACAGAGGTTAAAACTAAGCTCAAAACAAACAAAGAGGGTGCAGTTTTATTTATCTCAAAAATGCATAATTAAAGTCAGTAAGAATTTCTATGGTTTTAGAGCCAGAGGGGATGGATGACTCCAAGAAAACAGTGTCTTCCAGACAGAACAGGCCTGGGGCACATAGGAACTCACAGAGATCATAGTGCAATGCACAGGGTCTGCACAGGTCTAAGCCAGATGGGTTCCCCATGTGAGAGGGTGAAGTGGAGATGCTCACCCATCCATACCAAGACTCTATCTCCAACTGACAATTGCTTGCAAAGGAAAAATTAACATCCTCTCATAGAGTCTTACTGGGGGATTCAAACTGCACACCCACACTACACTCAGCAGTGACGGCCAGCACACAAGGAGCTCAACGGTGTTTCTATCATAATTTTTTTCCTTATCTCATATTGCTTTGTTTGTGTATTCTTTTACCTTACTGGAATTTTGCTTGTATATTATGGTTCTTGATTTTGTGTTTTCAAGATTTTGTGTGTGTGTGTGTGTGTATGTGTGTGTGTGTGTGTGTGTTTCTTGTGCTTTTTTGTGTTCTTAAAAAAATTTTTTTTACTTGTTTGTTTTCTGCAAAGAAGGTATGGAGTTGAATGAGCTAAGAGGTGAGAGGATCTGGGAGGGGATGGTTAAAGGGAAAGTATGATCAGAATATATTGTATGAATTTTCAATAAAAGCAAAGAAAGAAAGATAAAAGAATTCCTATGGTTTTAGCTTTTGTAGCTTAAAAAAAAGACAAAGTAAGTACTGTGTTTGTAGTGTTCAGGCTCTTTCTGTCACTTAATATTACCAATGATTAGCAGCAATGTATTTCTCTATATCCTTGATATTAATTTCATTCACAAATTACAGCATGGCTGTACATCACTAGTACAGCATGTGGTTAGCATGTTCAAGGCCCTAGGTTCTAACCTCAGAACACAACTCTCCTCATCACTAATACATCACCATGTGTTTTCTCTATTTCTTACATAGTGAGGAAAAACCAGAAACCCAACAGTCATTTCATAGCTGTCTCCTTCTCAGCCAGCAGTCTCCCAATAAAAACTATGGTCTGTTCCAATATTCTAAATTTCTCTACAGTATGTGCTTATCCTGCCATTTGTGCTACTCTGAGATTTAAGCTCAAACTTCCACAACGGCCTTTGTTAGTCCTCCAAGCTCTAGTGCTGGGTGTCTACTCTATAACCTTTAAACATAAGTGTAATGTATTTTATGTGGAACTATGCTCTATTATTTTTCTCCTCACAGGGTAAAATCGAATGTACAAGCATTCCAGACCTTCCAACTGCCCTATCTATACCACTGTCTTTCTTCCTTAGGAGCCAGGTCTTAATGAAGGCAGTGAATCCACTGATCGCCTTCACAGCAACCAGCCAGCCCTTTGCCCTCCTGGACTTTTTTCATAATAAACATCACTCTCTGAAGTTACCTACTCACACACTTCTCATTTCCTGTCTTTCCCAACTGTGGAGATCTATAGATGTGGATCTTGGTCATTCTTATTCCTGAACGAACCCTGTCATCTGACCAGGGTCTGACACACCACAAGTCATCGGTAAAGATGTCTTAACTCCATAGTAGAGGTTGAAGTTTCTTTATATTTCATATTCAGTAAAAATTAACAGACATCTTTGCAGCTTTTCTGGTTATCTGATGCTGTACTCATGGTACACTGTAATTCATATTCACTCAAGTATCGCATTGGTGTTGGTCATTTAAAATAGCACAAGCTTTGGAACAATACCTGGCACAAAGCAGTCACAAGGAAGCCACATCAATTTTCCTTCTTTTCAATTATTTTCTTTTGATAAATTTCCTAGAATGGAATTACTAAGTCAAAATGAAAAATAACTTTTAATTCAACACAGAAGAACTAGTATCTCGCCCCTTAATTTTCTCCTTGGGGTAATGAGATAAGAGGTTAATTTTAGAAACAGATATTTATATGATCTGGCACCTACCATATCCCAAGCTCTTGTGATACATCAACTGGCCAAATGATGTTTTGTGGTAGTTATATTGTATCCAGAGAGCAAGAATATGACAGTCCATAGCAAACATCATATGGGAAGTTAAGAAGTAATGTATACTACAGCAGAAAGCCAAGGAGGCTGCAGAGAGACAGCTAAGGGGCAGGGAGCGGATTCAGACCTTTCTGAGAAGGTGCTAACACTGCTTGTGAGTTACTGTGATGCCTGGCAGAAGCGGGGGAGGTTCTGGGGACCGGGAGAGTGAACCCCTGGAAGAACTGAGGAGCAGTAAAATGAGCAACCTCTTAGCTCTTGTGGGGTCACAGAGGACATAAAAGACAGATATATCAAGATCAATTCACACACATCCAACTCTCCTGCTTA